CACATATATATATATATATATAGGTACGTTCAGTAAAGACAGTGGCAAAAATAGGAACATTACGTATCATTTTATTCTTGACAATGTTCATACATACCTGAATATCATATACCAAACCTTCCCTCTTCAGATGGCTCAGGAGGCCACCTGGACGATTCTGTTGAAGTAAGTATGACACAAAGTAAAGTGGCTTGCAGCTGTAATCACCCAACGATTTAGGACTCAGCGGCCATGTAACAATAAATTTACCTAAGACATTTGAGTTTACTATAACAAGCTTATCAAGTAGATCTCGTGGAAACTCTGTAATATGGGACAATTCTTGCTTCACACTATATTCTTTCAGAAAACTACCGGCTGTGAATTCACGGGCTGGTGAAGATTCTACCGAAGGAAAGATACGAGAAAACTTTTCGGCAATGGTAGCCAGCTCATCAATGCTTTGCTTGCCACTTAGTGCTAGAGAACTATGAGTTGCATTATAGAATGTTTTAAACTGTTCTTCGAGTCCAGTATCGGTAAGACACGTTGAGTCCTGTTGGAACAAGGCGAGCAACTTACTAAACGGATGAGTTTTTCCTAGGAGGCCAGCTAGAACTTCATTTTCGGAGCTTCTAGCATAAATATTAGTCAACAATGCTTTCTTGCCAGCCACTGATCCGAGCTCCCCGACTGCGATGACCTCGGCGAATTTAATTGCAGCCAAGGTCAATGCAGACTGATGCACTTCGAACCCATACACCGTATAGTCTACCCGTACATCAGGAGGATATACGGCACCATTGTTTAGTTTAATGAAGTCCTCGAATCGTGCGAATCTTTCTGAACTTCGAATAGCCTGTTGTAGCGCAGCTATTTCAAGTCCATCAGCTAATCCACATGAAACACATACAGAGAAGCTTGCCAAACGCTGATTTGTATCAGACACAATCAGACATCGAAGGCCGCGCAAATCAATCCGGCGTACATCTCGATTGTCACAAACAGCTCTTCGAACTTTATGGAACTTCCATTGCTCCGAAGCTGAACTATCCTCCATCGCAAACATCTTCCTGTCGTCCGCGTTTTCCTTTTTCCTAATCATGGCTGCGCACCTCAAGCTTAACCTGCTGGACACAACTTAGACCTACGACGAGCACTGCATTTCACTGTTCCTAGTCAATGCTCGGAGACTTTTTCCTGCATTTTCATTTCTTAGACCTATTCTGCTGCTGTGTAGAGGCTTTCATTCACCGCTGTATTTTATCCAGTTCTGCGAATACGACTAATTTTCTACGTAATCTTCGCGCATCGTACACCGTTGACTATACACCTATATTTTGATGTCAATGTTGCTAAGTGTGATGTAGGCGCGCAATCCACCTTACTTTGCTGCATTTGCTATAGCCCGATTGCTCTACACAAATTTGCCGTTTCGTTGAACTTGTTTTCTGGTTGAGGCCGATCTGTTGAAATCAGTTCGGGCTCTTCGAATGTCAGTTTATGTGTCGGACCTTCCCACGCCCAACAGATGTGAACGGGCGACCGATCCGTCTGCTTGTTCTACTGGACACCTTTTCGAGTCCTGCTTCCGTCTTCGCTAACGGCAATCCGAAACTGACTAAACCAGAGCCACACCGAAGTTAGTGGTCAACGGCAGCAGTCGATCTAAGTAGATATCATAGACGTCAATAGCAGAACAGTCATAGCGTTGCCATTGTCCCCTGCCGACAACAAACCAACTACGAACCTCCTTTCTGAATGCTTTCATTTTTTTCGACCAACTTCAGCTGATGTTGGTCTCGAACTTTGTTGACTTCGGCATTGTAGCAATGGCCTCGACAGAACCAGAAACAACATTGACAATAACATTAACCATGACTGAGACGTTGCTGTTGGATGATGGCCGAAGTAACTACAGAGCGTCGTCGTCGTCGCCGTCGCCGGTAACATTCATAGAAAGAGCGGCATGTTGATAGTTTGAAGCTTCCGAAACGTCTAATGCTGGAACTGCATCTGCAATTCTATTCAAGAGCTCTAGTGTGACACTAGCGTCATCAACATCAATAGCACCGACGTCGTCGACAACAGCACCATTATCATCACCGTTACCGTGATCTTCGCCGTAAGCAAGCACTGCTACGCTCGCTAGTTTTATTTTCAGAAGCATATTAAAGGAAGAAAAGTCACATTTTTCGTGCTTTCATCTATATATATATATATATATATATATATATATATATATATATATATATAGGTTTATCCTGTCTCTATGCCCTGTAGTAGACTTCGTCTCCTACACGTTTCTGCGCTATGTATTCGATGGCAGCGTCGGCGAAGCAACGTTCGTTAGGTGGTTCACTTGTCAGCTAGGTCGCAATGGCGTTCTATACCATCGGATAACTAGCGCAGAGATGGCACCGATGACGAGCTGTGGTCTTCGAGCCCGCCACATTGACAACACAATAGCGGAGAGGGAGGGTAGGGCAACGCCTCCACTATCCAAGTTTCACAGAGCAAAGCGCGCATAGAGGCTGAAAAATGCCGTCCTGTAGCAAAATCGAATGAGGCATTGAAGGGAACATCGGCAGATCGGCTTTAGTTTAGATAAGATTTATAAGAAAATCCAGCACTAATTATTATCAAGTATTATTTATCGTGAATCTATGGAAGAACTGTTGAATATAGATTTTCATAGAAGATAGTAAGCGCGTTCTATAAGACGAGTTTCTCCGACTAGAAAACTTCGTTACGCCGTCAGTTGATATGTACAGAACGTACGAAGAGGTCAGTGGATCGTGGCGCAGCACTCGACGCATACCCGTGGTCTCAAATTGGTTGTGCTGCACGCAAAGACTTCCGTATAGATATAGTCGGGTCGAATATTGATCTCCGGCCAGGAAGGTTGATTGTGTGTATCTACGAGACAATTTCAGGCACATCGTCTAGTGGTTAGATCAAGACGAGGGTCTCTTCGTTATAGATGGCTTGAAAGTTTCGAAGAGCTCCCTCACGCCTTCATTCTTACAGAGGACATTGATTTTGATTACGTAGTCGGATACCATACCTCATCCTTGGCCATATTTTGTACTCGAGGCCCACTCGAACGCCGAACGCTCATGCGATAAATAATGTAAATATCACAATCTCCCTATTGAATGGTTTCCTATGCTCTTTTGAAGATAAAAAAAATTACCGTCGACGCTGTTTCTGAACGCAATACACAATAAGATTAGCAGTGAACAATGAGTCGAAAATACGCTCTATTCTTTGTAAAGCTTATTTAAAGAGTCAATGCGATTACTACCGAAAGGCATGTAATAACTTTAGCTAACTAGATATATTTCTTGTTGTGATTTTATACAAAGCCATTTTCGCGCTGCCGTATAAACTTTGCCTATTACAGTCATTACATGTGAGGTTTGTTGTTCCGTTATAAACATTAACATTACCGAGTGATTTGTTGTTCTATTTTAGTTTGGGCTACTGATGTGTCTTGAAATTTTCTCATCTAAACGGATTTTTTTGTCGCGTCATACCTTAGCAAACTTATCCTCAAAATCCAAGGTAATATATTTTAGGTTACGTAGGACGCTGAGCTATAGGCTCCTCAAAGTTGTGCACCTTCGATCACAAAGATAACCGACGAATCCCAAATCAAAAATCAGCTAATAGGTACATAAAGTGAACTTGCGATCCACATAAAATAGGTTCTGTCTCGCCAGTGGCCGTAGACAGATGTGTCACTCAAATCCTCTTAAAGATCTAGTAGGTCCGCTACGCCGCGTTGATTCTTTTCAGTTTTCAGAAGGACCAGCCTTGGGTTACTTGCAGGACACTAAGGGCGCCCAACGATAAAGGCCAGGTCAATGACTACTCGGTTTTTAACTCTGATAATTTATCTGGTGGCTATTTGATGAGACAAAGTAAAATTACCACTTTCGAAGGACAGCTCGCTATTCTTGTCAATTTAATCATGTGAAAAGCTTGCTTTAGCGCTTTTTCCAAAATGGAAACTTTCAATGTTCCAGTGAGAGATGCTAAAAACGACTTTGCATACCTCTGTGCTTATAAGAATCTGTGGTAGTAGGCGGAAGGCCTCGGGCTGTAGCAGAAGCTTGTGATCGTGAAGGGTTTTCGTTGACGATGGTGAAACAATGTGCTTCGAATGCTGGAACAATCAAAAATGGTATACCGTTAAAGCTAAATAATAAAGGAAAGGGAGTGAAGGCAGGTAAAGGTGTAACGTGAATTTAGGTGAGTTAAAGCGGCGGATAAGAACTTAAAAAGATTGTATTACGTTTCAACTTTGTGGTATAGGGCATATGGGCGAAAGTGTATTCTTATAGTTTAACATACTTGATTTATGAACATGATGCTTATAAGTTTTGTTTTTTAGTTAAGTTACACCGAATAACAAAGCGCTCTACCGAGCACGAGTCAAACTCTACATAATATTTTTAGGATACCTGAGCGACAACTTGATTTGACACCAATGCCTTTGTTCACATATATATATATATATATATATATATATATATATATATATACAATGAATAAATAATAACAATTAGCCAATGCTGCTCGTAAAACAACCACAGTCTGAGTTTAGGCATATAGTGAAGGCTGAAACAAGTCAAATGCTTCTGGAAGTAGTACGGTTAAGAAAAATACTTGTGTCGTCATGTCGTGCGCTTGTAATGACAAACATAAGTTTATAAAAATAAGTCTAAATTTAAGCGAAATTAAGCAAATATCTATCGTATGCTTTCTTCCTTTTATAACAGAACGCCACTGTGCATAAAAAACAAGATTATAAAACAAGGACTACAGAAAAACAAGCTACTATTACGGTCATGTCAAATAGATTCTGGCACAACATATTTACAATTATTCAGAACTCATAACTAAACATTTCGTTTTATTCTATAACTTTTACGAGGCAGACGAAGGAAGATTCATCATAAAAGTTAGCTATAAAATTCAGAGAAAGAACTAAATCATCCAGAAATTACTATTTTTATACAAAAACTAACGCTAAAATAGTGCTTCAGGATTTCAAAAAACTCAACATTTTCAAATGGCGCGAGTCTAACGAAACAGACACGTGGAACTACTGAACTAGTAGACGGGATACTTAAGACAATCGGGATAGTTCTACCATCTGGCATCTGCTCAAGCGGGGACTAGAAGGTATTATATACTTAGCTAGGAGTATATAGGTCAAACCTCCGAGTCGACACTCAAATATATAAGAAATAGAAATATAGAATCAGTTTCACTAATGCTGGGGAAATGTTATAAAAGATGATATTGAATTTGTTGCAGACTGGTTCGAAGCAAATAATATTCTAGATATTGTAGAAGGTTGCCTTCTTGCAATGATCTGATAGATTTTATTCATCAACTCAATGATCCTTCAGAATTAGATAGAACTTTCGGCCGTTCACTAATGACACCATCGAGAGTCTTCAATAGACCACTAGAAAAAAAAATCACCAATTAATTCAAATTGATTCAAAGCCATCAATAAAAATCAAAATGGAAACATACAATCATAATAGATTATTTTCGGTAAGCCAAGAGAGATCGGATCTGAGGGAAGTATTCGACAGGACAAACAAAAAGTACCTATTTAGCAAACGACCGCTATTTGGCCTAGATAAGTTAAGCCAAAACGGATCTATTTAGTAGAGAATAAAGAGGTTAAGGTCCCAAACCAAACTAACTGTATAGAAGCGGAGGGCCCGGGTACGGGACCCAATCTCTCGAGCATGTCGACAATAGGCCTTCGTAATTTTTTTTTTAGAAAATCTAGCGGCCTTAAGCGAGACATACATACGTGAAATGTGTAGAGAGAATTAAAAGTGAATTGAGCATTACTTAGTGCATTAAGCAGCATAGTTTCGAGACCAGGTTTCGAAAAAGGACCTGCTATCCATGATGTAATCATATCTTTGCTGTGGAATACTTTATTAGAAGCTAATTTTAGGATGAAAGTGTCCTAAGTGACTGGATTCCGCTAATATGACTTTATAACTGAAGAATTCCAGATTCGTTCGGATTTTACGTATGTAGGGCAATTACCCATGCAAGTACACGGAACTGGTTTAATGGAACAGGGACAAATGGCCATTAGATTTCAAGCACTGAACAAGTACTGGCTCCTCGATTTGAAACATTGCACAAGCTAACTGTAATAGATAAATATCTATAAATACGATATCTCAAAATCCTACCGAAAAGTAATTCAAAATAGATGGCAAAGTCTTACTATCTTCTATTGCGTAGCAGCATCGAGTTTGGCTACGAACTCACAAACTTGTTACCATCATAAACGAGATAATCTTCACTTACATTGAAGCTGTAAAAAATCTTTTACGCAGAGTCGCCTACCGAAACAGAGATATCGAAAGTTAACACTTAGCGAGCTATCAAGTAATAGCTGACAGAATTTTTGCGGGACTTCAGATCGAAAGAAGTTGCTGGTCATCATTAATATCCTACGACAAAACGTAACGAGTTTTTTTTTTTCATTTCTACTCGACATCGTTCCTTCCCGATATAGAGCGTTGCGATTCGAATTGGGATATAAAGAATGTTACCTTATTGAAGGAGATACACACACGCACAGAGAGAGACAAAGAAAGGGTTGATGTGTGTTCGGCCGACATGCTTTATAAATGTCTTCCAAACTGTAGGAAAGGTCTGTAAGCCAAGTAGTCAAAAGCAAAACAGGATACTCGCGTCGGGTCAGGCTGATTATCTAACGGTGACAATAGCCCAATAGGCATTGCTTATATCAGTCGTTTTGTTCTAGACCAATTAAGAGCTGACCTAGGGTTTTTCAAAGATAAGCAATTACATAGACAAGGATTAGAGCTAGCCGAATGAGGTTTGGTAATAGAAAATGACAATTCTATCTAACCCAAAGAAGCGCCTATTTACGAACGAGGTCTTGAAAAATCAAAACAAGTTGAATTTTCTTACAGTTCTCGATGCGAGAATATTTGGTAAGTTTGATAAACTTATTTGTTGAAAGGCTGTAGTCGGCGTAATTATCATCAAGTCAATCGACAGTCGGATAGTACTGAAGTTTATCGATATTAAGTTCTTCTCTATCGCTAACTTGTAAACGAAAAAGGGGCTATTACGATGCATTTCCGTAGTTAGTCAGTTTGTACCTCCAACATCCTTTCATCAATAATAACATATATAAGTATCAATATGATTTAAGCGGTAACACTAATTGTCTGATTATGAATGTTAACGATATTCTCCCTCTGTCTAATAAATAAAAGGGTTAAAAAGGTTATAGTTGAAGGCGGAATTGCATCTCACTAACTTGAGTATGAAGCCGACGACGTTTACTTACGTTTAATTTTTCATAGTGCAGTACGCTACGATCCGTAACAATGTGTTATGATCGGTTCCAGGCAGAGCTGTTACCTGTGTATCACCTTCTAAATCATTTAGAAGCTGATAGGAGAGAATCTCAGATATGTCGTTTCACAGCTGTTTCAATATATTTACAGAAGATGTGCGCAGCGGTGACACTTCTTATCTCTATTAGATTTACTCAGTAAGGACATACCGATAAGGTATTTATGTTAAAAATACCCTTACCATAACTAAGATAAAGCAATCGTAAACTGTCAGCTAAAAAAGTTTTCCATACGTTTCTATCCTATTACAAGTACTGTTTTAAACCCGAAGAGGTTCACTCGAGTCCTGCGTTGCCAAACAAACGAGACTTGAATAAGAGAATAAATAAAACCCACTATCTAGAATCGGCTGAATTCAAAACATCGTTTATTTAAATACAGAGCAGCTTCATATACCGTGTATCTAACTGTCAACTACTTCGTCTGTTCGACGACAAACGGAAATGTTTTGCTTGAAGTGTTCGAAAGAGTATTGTTCACTGCAGCTGGTTATTTTTTTTTTTTCTCTAGGTTGGCCTGCAGAAGGCTTGTTTATGGAGTGAACCAATAATTCGTTCAGTATATTATCTTCATGATACGCACATGCCTTAGAGAACTATTGTTTATTGCTACCGTCTTAGACCTCGAAAAGGAGAATGGACCTCAGTAGTTGTTTGTTGACGGTCGTAATATTTACACGTTTGTTGATAACTTAAGCGGCGTAAACGAGCTTAGCTGTACCGTACGGGTGGCAGTCCTTGTTTCCAATGTGATCGCGTTCGTTCAGATGGCTCTATCACTAATTACACATAGTTCTATGGCTTACGTACTCCGCAATCCAGCCGCTTGGGTGTTTGCAGACAACATTTACAGCAGAAGATATCGGTGCCCTAGGATGAACCGTTCGAAAATTCATACGAAAGACTGTCGATTTCCATTCATCTCTAACTCCAACGCCTATTAAAGGTGTTTTTTAATATCGAAATAAAATGCGACACATTAGATATTATCATTAATCATCTTCGTAGTGGTAGATGCATTCGTACACGTACGGAACATGTACAAATAATTTATTCTACTAGCGTATTCCTCGCCAGCTAGGCTGTAAATGGTAGCGTCTTGAATAGCGGAGCATTTGGCTTGCGTTGACAAACTTAGTCCTTCAACTTTTCCAACATTTTTCCTTCTTTCAAAGGCTGTTGAAGTATACGTGACTGATTCTTGACTATTTCCCAAAACCTTCTACATTGTGAACGCTTTAGTCATCACCTCCCTGCCATAGAATATCAGTGACAAATAGTTAGCTGTCACCCGCCTCGATATCATATAAGAGGAACATTTTTGGCTCAAGCATCCTACGTTTCTTCAGCATAGGATGACACGTAATAGTCTGACGATTGGTTTGATGTGTCCGACGCTACAAAGCGTCAAGTTTTCAAATGAAGGCGGCGTCGATTTTTCCCTGCCTTCATACGAAATCCCATTCGTCTAGACTTACACCTCGGCTTCATATCCGTAACTCTGATCTATCTTGTATCTCGTCTTTCCTCACTCTCGTCTATTTCCTTTAGTAATAAAAATCTTGTCCCATATGATAAGATTAGAATGCCATTTTCTGGGAAATGATGCTAACGACCGATAGATAAGAAACGTAAAACTTTGACGTCTATGTGTGTTAGTGAATGGTGTGGTGTTTTATTTAATGTTGCTGCTACGCCAATTCTGTTAAGATGTTTTCAAGTGAATTTAGACTCACGGAGAGGTTGGTAAATGGATGATGTACCATTAAAACAATGATTCTGGGCTTCATTTTATTCTACATACGATTTGCTGTGACTTTGCCAGTGTTGGCAGTGTTGCTTGGCCTCACTTTAAAAAAAGGCGGCCACCGTTTATTATACCGTGTTGCGCTGAGGTTAGCCCCAGCAGTCATTTTCGCCGTAAACCCGCCACTTGGGTGATGATTTACTCGTCGATTTTAACCACGACACTCCCGCCACACCCAGCGTATTCATGAAAACGCTCCCAACGTAGCGTCAATGAAGAAGGCTCAGCGAAGAACATAGCGTTTTTATCTTCCCGTCCGCACGATCGCTTTCGTTTGTTTTCATGCGCTCGATTTTACTTCGTTCATGTTGGTCTCGTTCTCTATTTCCTCTTCGTCTTCGATTTTAATTTCGTCCAGCTTTACGCTTCGTCGTATCGTGCTTAGAGCTTCAGAAAACTATGGCAGAAGAGTGAGGACGGTCACCTCTCGCGGCACGACGACTGTGCTGCCGGTAGCGGCAGTATTGAGCGCACAAGTGGCATGCCCAATAGTGGGTTGGACCACTCACTGGCTTTTTGACCAACTGACGTTCCAACAAGGTACGAAGTTCGTCTACCTCGGCAGCATTCGCCATTCGCAACGTTGTTCAGAGTGCGGACCGAAACGGGGATTTCTCATGGTGAGCATATAAGTTTAAAAGAACGAATTTCTTATCAGTTGGAAGAGCCATGTAAGTACTTTCAGAAACACCTTACTGCCGTGCCGAAATCAGTTGTGCAGACCCCGATAAATATAGTAAAATAAATTCAATTGCAAATTGTAGCATGTGAATAGTAGATCGTAAATGCTAGACGATGGCCTAGATTCGAGCCAGGTAGCCTGCCGCCAAAATCAATCTCCGGGCATCCGACGCTGCGTTTGTTTAATGTGCAAAAGTTGGATAGTTGTGGCAGTGAAGAGGCGAGATTGACGTCGGGAAACGATATATGCGATGATGTTCCCCCTTTTATTTGATGGCCACCGGATGCTCTTTGGTCCCTTCGAAGAATTTTTATTGACCGCTTAGTTACGTCTGTGTCTCACTTTATTGTGTATGGTTGACTCCGAGATGTTGTCGGTATATGCTGTGCCGTTGACGTTGCGTCATTGCTTTTACGTAAAAAGATGACGTTTCTAGAACTTGTTATGCTATCCGTCAGACATTGCAACGCGTCAGACGTTATTGTCAGAAAGAGAGGAAGCGAGACGTTTGCCAAAAGCCAGTTATTATTTCTATATATTTTGTGCACTGTAAAAGCAAATCAGACGAGAGTAGAAAAAAGTAATTCTGGTGAGACATGCTAATACCGATAGAAACGTTCATGGCAGTCTACTGAGATTTGTGCGTCGCGCTGTGGATCGAAATACAAGCTTATATTAGCGCGTAGACAACAGGGTTCTATGTATTACAGATCATACATAGAATCCGTTGCTAAGAAATTTGAGTTAACGCCATCTGGGTCGGTTCCTATAGTAAACAATCGATTAATATGTTTCCGAAAAAGGTTACCAGTTTAAAATCTCAACTGATAGTGACGCTCGTCTTATTCTGTCATTTGGCGTCTTGTATAACCTAGTCAGTCTTGCTAGAGTGCCCTTTTGCCTTTCCTATAGTACTAAAATAGTAAAAAACAAAAAAACTCTAGTAAAGGGCAAAATATCAACATGTCCAGTTACTAGTCGCTACTGTTCTAACTACTCGCTATATATTCTGATGTATAAAATATTACATCAGAATATATATATATATATATATATATATATATATATATATATATATATATATATATATATAGCGAGTAGTTAGAAAAGACTGGGCAGCGGTTAAAGGTCTAAAGTGAGATATAACACAATGATATATTGTTCCTATGTTTACTTTGTTGTTATGACACAAGCAATAGTCTGTTTTGTGCTATAACCTCAAGCATTCATAAACGCTCAGTTCAGGCATTGATTTTTTGCTTTGTTTAAGTTGCAATATACACAAACGTAGCTGCTAATAACTATAATGATTGTTATTGTTTCTAGCTTGGTAACGGCTGTGGGATGCGCCGCGTGCTAATTACTCTGTTCTTGCCGATTTGGATCTCCCGCGACAGATCAGCTGTTTCCACCCCTACGAACGGTCCACGTAAGCAGTAAACTATCAATTGTTTTTCCCCTTTAAATATGTACCGCTTATTCTGGATGACGGAAAAGTTCATGCTTGACTAGGTACGTCGCTTTAAATAAGAGAGAGAGCGCAAAATACGTACGATATGTAATCATAATTTAAGGTAACCAATTTACTGACAAGTAACGATCAGTAAGATTGTTATCACTAACTTGCTTTATACGTTGTGAGGTGTGTTGAGTATGTAGACCTGCGTTTTCATATTTGGGTACCATTCTACGCAAGCGTACTACCCGAACAGCCATTCTGTCACTGAGCCATTTTGTTGACTAACAGTAATTAAATATCGGTCTCACGTCTAGCTACGTAACCTTCTCTGCGCATTGACGAAGCTATTTATCAACGGGCCTATTTGAAGATGGAAATTGTAGGTAGTCCAACGTCAAGGGTTCGTAATAAAAAAGGACCTAACAGTTGACAGAAAAACTGAATGCATCAACTAAAATAGATAGTATTATTTAGGCACGGCGTGTTACTATCGTTGGTTACACTGGGGAGTAGAACCCGACCAACTTAAAAGTCTCAGCCAATTTCCGCCTACCAGTCGAAATCGTCGAGCGACAAATTCTGTATGCTCACACATCATTCTGGGCTTTGCCAGCGTGGGCAGTGATTTCAAGCCGAATCTCACTGCAGTTGGGGGCCTTCAAGGAGTCTCCAGGTGAGAAGAAGCAGAGAAATTCATATTTATTATATAACAATACTGACGCTTGAAAAACTTACTATTGAACCACAGTGGGGACTAGCGCTTTCTCTAAGTTCAAAATGTTTTGCTCATTGGTTATTGTATTTATTCGCTTGTAGATTCGTAAACGAAGGCCGGCCTTCGCCCACAACTAAAATGATGCTCTCCTTTGGCGGGGGAGGTGGACGGCAAAAAAGCTTTTCGAAAATGGTAGCTGATCGCGCAAGTATTCATTTGTGAGTATGAAAATGGCAAATTAATAAAGGCAGAATAGAGCGAGTCGCGTTGCCGGAACGATTACGCTAGGACCGCCTTGTTGCATTCGTCAGGATCTTTTTTACGGCAAAAACATCATTATTACCACTGTTACTAATATTATCATTGTCATACAAAATTTTCCCATAACTGCATCTGCGCCTTTCAGATTTCAGAAGTCACTTGCGGAACTGATCCGTTTAACGGGATTAGATGGTGTTGACTTCGACTGGGAATTTCCGACATTTCTTCAAAGTGGTCAATTCGGACGTTTCCTTGAACAAACGCGACTGACTCTGAACGCGATTAGCGGAACTAGGGCTATGCGTACATTGAGTCAACGTGACGACACTCCGACAATGGTTGAAACTGAAAGTTCTCAGCTGACTGGTGACCAGATTCAATCGTTTCCAACAAATAGTAATGATACTATTACAGATGAGGGTGGCATAAATGATAGGCCACGCAGAATGAATGGTATGGCTCTTTTAGAAAATGACATGTTGGAACTGAGCGTCGCGGTACCCGGTCCATTCACGCTGACGGCAGGCTACAGCCCCGAGCACCTTCGAGAGTGAGTCAGAAATGTTGCATCGGAACCTGTCTCCTTTCCTTTATACGAATCGTACATATGAAGCACTTCAGTAGGAAAGGACTAAGCCCACCATTGCCAAAAGATAGAAAATCAGCATACTTTTTCCCGAAGAAAATGGAACTAGCCACTTAACTAAGACTAGTAGGCCTAGGCTGCGTTCGTTGTCGGAGCTTAGCGTATTTCGGTATTGTAGTTTCCATCATAGCAGCATTTACTGAAATCGACAGCAGGAAAAACGTGGATCTGTCAACAAGCTTAAGGTCAAAGTGATCCGTCTGTTTTCCGTGTAAAAGGACCAAGTCCTGTTGTTTTCTTGAATTCACGCGGCGTAAGTTAACTCAAATTAAAGGATTTAATATTTTGACTGACGGGTGATCACCAACTAACAACAACATCAACAGCAACAACTTCTAGGCAATACATTAATGCAATCAAAAAGTAAGTTAGCTAGTTTGTAGAATATTCATGTTGGAAGTTTGGTTGACATTTCTCGGAAGGACATCAGTTAGAGTCAAAGAATATGGATGCATCATCTATTTATAGATGACGCGAAATCGAAGAGGCACACACACACACACACACACTTCATTTGCATCAATAGTCTTCTTTAATTAGAAGCACTAAAACCAACTTTATAATACAGGAAATTGAAAGTACATAGATAACGATACGGTGTGAATATCCTGTTCGCTTTTGCTTCTGTGCTTTCCAAAAAGTAACTGTACATTTATCAACGTCATGACGTATGACCTCGTGCTGTACGAGCCCTGGCATCCAATAGCAGCCCTGCACAACGCTCTCTATGGACAAGGAGGAGTTTTGAATGTACTCAATCTTTTCGCTGTTGACTATTCAATGGAGAACTGGGCTAATCTTGGAGTGCCTAAGCATATGCTATTGCTCGGTGAGCTATTTTTCTCTATTCTGTTTCTTAGCATTATGACTTTAGACGCACTAGACAAAATCAATTGTACGTATCTGTCCGCGTGCTTTGTTCCCCTACACGACAACTAAGACGTTACACGAAGAATGACTTAACACGCATAGACCATATTAGCAAGTCATCGTGATTCTTTTCAAAACGATTTCAATGCTACCGCATAGAACATGATATGTATATAGTTTGGAAGAAACACTAAACAATCGATCGGTTGGAGAGTATTTTCTCGCGCATAAACTTACGTCTAACTAGTTTCTCTATTCTCTCTCTCTCTCTCTCTCTCTCTAAAAGGCATCCCCACCTACGGAGTTGCCTACGAGCTCGCTAAGCCTACGCTCGCAGGGCACCTAGCTATCATTAACGGATACTCGAGTCTCGGAGCTAATATCGGCTACGACAAGGTAAATCGTACGTTTGTATTTATAGAACAAATAGCACTCGCCTTAACAACTTCTACATCCCATAGACATTGCAATTGACCTAGAATTAAGGACACTGCATAAATGATCCTGTCCCTATTTAAATTACGAAGTCAGAAAAGTGTAGGGTAGTTATGTAAAACTTTGGCACTTACACTGAGGCTTCTTCATCTGCATCCAGGACATCAAATAGCTTAACGTGAACAAAATGCTCTTTGCATATATAGATATATATATATTTCTTGTTCTTTATTTAAGGTTCTTTGTTAGTGTTTCGACTAGTACTTGGTAGCTTTGAGTGACAATGGTGAATACTCTGTCAATGGAAGGAAATTTGTTAATTTTACATGTTTCGTCCGTGACTGATTGCCACAATCGCGTGCGTGAAGACGTGTGAAATTATTGCCAAGCACCCATATAATGTGCGTTTCCATAATAAGGCGCGAGTTCCATTTGTTCACGACAGCGAGGGGAACTGGATTTCCTACGATAATGAGCGAAGCGTCGCCGAAAAGGTTAGTCTAAATAGGGTTGATCAGCGTGACTGTTCTGGAGCACGCTTAAGCCATCGTGTCACTGAAAAGATTATTTCTTTCTATATACAGACTATATACAAGACTATATCTATACATACTTGACGTAAGTAACACTGATGTTGGCAATGGCCACGAAATGCGTGACACGTGTGTTAGATCTTCCTTTGCACAGTTGTAACCTGAAATCTACTGATTAGTTAGATACTGAACCACTTGTTCTATATAAATCGGTAACACGGAGTCAGCTCGAGCCGGTATTACCACCATTCCGATGGCTTCCATATGTGATACATATTATACCGATTGTACATTTACAGGCGGCCTTCGCAAGAGCACAGCGTTACGGGGGTGTGATGATATTTAGTCTGAACGCGGACGACCCATTTGGTAAATGTGCTAAAATTCTAAATGACCTTCAAGCTGGGAAGAATCTAACTGCTGTCGACGATCCTGAGCATCAATTTCCGGTAGAAGTCTTGAGCGAGCCGTTTCCGCTAACCCGAATTGCTGCGTTTGCACTGCACGAAGCCGCAAAAGCAGACATCTAATTAGTAAAAACAGCTACAATCAACCATTTGTATGTGTATAAACTAAATATGATCTGAAAATTTAATGACATCATACTTCTACTGAGATTCCAAGAAGTGAGTTCCATGACGCTGGAACTAGCAGCGAACAAAAACACGTAATCATCACAGAAGCGTTGAATCTTCATACGTTTTTTAGCCAGCTCATAACAGCAGACGGCCAAATAAGATCATGCTTTGTCACATCAGTCATTTTAACGACATAAATTTGATAGGCAGTTAGTCGGCTGATGAGCTAACGGATAAAATAATTAGAACCTTGTGTATGGTACTATGGGGTATAACAAAGGTCTAGCAACAGGCTGTCAAATGTGAGTTTAACAGTGAGCGACAGGCTGGCCAGCAGAGCCACTAGACCCTGCTAATAATTTAAAACCATGAAACTTACCTTGTACATTACTAACAATAAAGGTGAGAGACCGATTTGTCATGAATCTTTCTTCGAACGATACTTTTTCATACTGTATCTCAAGTTGGAAAAGTATCGAAGTCGTTTGGGTACACTCGAGCTCATCCTCGGGAGACGTAAACTATTGGCCCTTAGTTAATTGATCAGTGAGCACTACAATGATGATTTAACAAACGCTCTGTGATCCGCTTATTCCAATGAAAACGAAAGAAGACGATCTACGAAATAACGATCCAAAGGTGGCTTATAACGAATCGGACGTAAATGCTCATGTTCTGGTAGTTATGTTACAGCAAATAAGTAGTAAGTTGTCATTCTAGGAATATGTTTTGCTCCTAAACACACTCTCATTCACTCGGCGTTTTCCTCCCATAGATTATACCTCGGCTAGCGCCCTGTCACCATACAGCCTGTGTAGACAATGGCAGAAGAAGGTCGACGTTCGTTGCTTTTGCTTGTTACTGTGAGTATGCCACCACGTCACCGTTGCGATAAGACAATGTTAAGATGGCTGTCTTTTTTCTACTGTACGCCAAGGGCCGAATCGACGACGAATCAGCCAGATCTTGGATAAGGCGGTGTGTGGTGTCACTCACTGCAAGAAAGCGATGCTCGTCGCATCGCTCCAATGTCATCTCGGAGCACTAGCTGAGCGCACATCTGCCCCCGTTGCTTCAGGTTGATTCCTTTTTATAGGACTGGATTGGGAAAGGGATGCGGGATGGCGGAAACCAATTTGGGCTTCAGGAAATAGAGGTTCTGCCGGATAAGAGTTATCGAATGAATGAGGCGTCTGCTACAAATATTAAAGGAGGAGAAAAGTGCAATTACAACTGTGGGTAACAAGAACCATCTTCGACTTGACTAACACGATGCCGCATTGTGCTCAACGGGTCTGTGCTTAAAGGACAGACGTTGAAGTTTACAATTTAGACGACACTGGCTTCAATCCCCGGTCAGCATTAGCATCATCGTCGTATAAGTATTAAACAGTATTAATTGCGAACTTGTGTTTTTAATGACACAAGGGAGTTAGGTTTCTGTTATCTCGTAAATGTATAGTAATATTATAACTTCTTCTTATACTAGTACTACACTCAAAGCAAGATTACATGCGTGCAAGTTTGCTGTTGCCGTGTTTGGCAAATAAGAACCATGGTGAGAAAATATTTTTGCTTGTTTAAAAGTACCCAAGCTCGTCTATCGCAGTTCTAGGTTGGTAATTCAAAATCTAGCTATTTACCTATGCTTTCTGTTACCAGATGTGGCTAGCTGACCAACCATTCCTCGAACACAAAGGGCCTGGCGTTTTTCTACTTTTTACAATCGTCATGAACATTTTCTTCGCAACCTTCCTCTGGCCGTTTGGCTTTCCATACGTGTGGAGGTTCCACCTCAAACAAACAGTTCACAATATAAATCTTCATGGCTTTACCTAGCGATATTGACATTCTTGTCTTGAATGCAGTAGGCAACCCAGCGTAAAAACATGCAGCCTTGTGTCACTGCTTTGAAAGATCTTATCTAAAATGCACACCCCAATACTTTTTTTTTTTTTAATTTGAGTTAATGGTAACAAGAGTCTGGTCAGTGTTTGCCATTAAAAGTTGAATTTTCCCCATTTCGACCATAGTCGAAATAACAGAAGTCGCACGCTCCGTACTAGCATTAACTAGAATATCTGACGGGAAAAACTTACCAATGCAGAAGTTCCGAAAGATATTTATCGATGAGAAAAGAGTAGTTTCAATTTTTTGGAAGGTCAGGCGTCTACAGAAAAGCTTGAACTTGAAATAGTTATTTACTAGCAAGCTAACTGTAATGCGTATAGATTATATAGAGGCGGAGTAGTTACGCATAATTTTAATACTCAATAGGCGTAGACGCCTAATGGGATATATCAACGACAAAAAGGTAACAGGGAAAAGCAGAAATATATTCATATGCAAATATATTTCTGAAACATATTTATATATAAATATATATATATAGATCTGGTCCTATTTGGCTTGCGGTAACTGCGAGTCTCTCAAACTACTTCCCCTACAATTGACCGACAGGCACCCACCGTAGCTACACAAAAAGTTGTTCGATAATAGAAAAACGTTTGTCGTGTTTCGACATCGCAATTCAAGCGGGATCCATGTTCACACGGACCGAATTCCCGCTACTGCTGACATCTATTTATGGGTTTTCTTTACTTACCAACCATCTTTTGGATACTATGTAGGATTCAGCGGCGACGTGGGAAGGTACATAAAGGAACAATCTAGCCAAAGCTTCGCCTTCCAGCCAATATAACCGATGGCGAACAATTCCCAGTTACTGAGTATTAGAATGAAAAAGCATGATGAAAACCAGGTAGGAACGAATGAAAAATTTAACGCAAGGAACTAACGTTGGATATATACAACGGCATTGCTATTGTACAAATCTGCCCGAGCGAAAAGCCTATTTAGATCACATCTGGTACTAACTCTTTTGGAACCTAGGTTATCCCTTGTGACAGTTGATTGCGGTTGCGGTTTCGCTATGGGAGAAAAATTAAGATGTTGAAATAATACCTACGGTGCCCGTAGATTCAAAATCAAACACTAAATATTGAGTGCTGGACACATTATTCTACCATATTATCCATAAAAAGTGAACATTTTTACGTTGTTTTTTTTGGCCCTTTAGACTATTTTATAGCATTTAGAGGCCGTGTATTATTATTACCTGATATTATTTTTGATGGTATACAATACACTAGCCATCTACGTAATAGAAAAGCTTTGAAATAAAAATTACGACCGCTGTATCGCTCAGCGATAGTACTATCAATAACGTCGTGACTTTCTCAAAGACGTAATGTAGTTGGATTGGTCACCTTTTTGCAATGGTGTATATATTATGAACCTTGATTGCAGTTAGATGATAACTGTGGCGCTTTCGAGAAATCTGAGAAAATCTTTACGTAAGTACGGACGATTCATGGTAGGGATTGCCCTGAATACGCCAAAACTCGTGAAAAAAGCGTTTCGATCAGATATCGGAAAGTGTTCAATCAGATGTCGGAGTCGTCTATGTAAGCTTCGACGGTTAGCTTGTCTTAGCTTCTTGAGCTTGTTCAGACAATTTAATCCTTCTTGGTTTTTTGCCTCTTGTTTCTTTGGGGTTTTCAACGTATTTCCAATGGAAATTTACTAATCTTTTTTTACGCGTGGCCTGTTTGAGCTAGGCTCCAATGAGTGTAAGCGTGTCAATATCGTTCATGGAAACAATATAAATTTATACACTGATACATTCAGAAAATTTTTACAAATACGCTTTAGACCTTGAATGATAACCATCACTGAAGCTGATGGCAGTTCCATTGAGAAAAAATATGTCCATTAAAACTGTCTCTTTCTAATTTAAATATCTGATGTCGTGTCGACGCAAAAGGATATTAATTTTATCTCAATTTATTTTGGACACCATGTGTAGTGTTCGATTTATGTAACGTCTACTATCTGCTTAGAAAAGTTAGTCGTTCTAGCGTACCAAAGCGATCACATTGTAAAGATACATAAGTAATAACAAGGTCTAGATGGCAGTGGAATATGTTCTGCAGAGGAATTGTCTTTCTGGCTCAAGGTATGCGATGCCTTTAGGTCACGTAAAGGTTGTGTATTAAATGATTTATTAATTTTCTATTGAAAATTGAAAAAACGAAAGTGCAAAAAAAAACATACACGAAAAAAGCGTAGTACACATGTTCATTATCACCACTGCGGCTTCATAATTTTCATTATTGCAGAATGATTACATTACCCCAACAAAGGGCGTAATTTCACGACAGAACGTAAACAATCGGCTCTAGGAGCTCAGTTAACTGACGCTGGGTCATTGCTATCCCTGCTGTCACCGTTTCTGTGTTCACTGTTGTATGACAGGGGACTCGAATGAAAAGTAAAGGGGGGAAAACGACAAAAACCTCGCTATTCTTCACACTAGTGTCCAATATAAATTCAAATGAGGTGGCTGAACATACAGAATCACTCGAAAAAAAGGCAGAAAAGTGTCTTGCAATTCCTTCGAACGTGTGCAGATGGTTCGAGGCTCCGGTGTCAATGCGTGTCACCGAAATTTGCGCGCGGACCTGCACTCATTCTTCTGTTATGTTGCGTCGGAACAGATAGGCAGCGATATAGAAGGGTGTGAGCAGATGATGGCTTGCACTGAAGCTGAACCCTTTAGGGCAACCACAAGCAAGCGTGGGGGAGAGATGAGCGTTTATCGATACGCATTTACACTACGAGCTCATGGAATATCGGACGCTGTACAAGATTTGCAGAACTACACTCGTTTAAGACTCACACGCGATGGTCAAAAGCTTTTTTCCGAAGTACGGCTTTTCGATGAGGTATGGCGTCTCTAGGAACATTAGCTAGCGATATATATTTATCAAAGGTGTAAGGATAAAGCAAATGTTTTGAATATGACATCTGGTGCAACCGCTAGGTACTGTTCTGGAGGACTGGCCTTCAGGACGAAACAAGATATGTCTTGGCCAAATATTTCGCATTTTACTTCGTCAGTTACATCAAACTCCTGGTAGTAATCAGTGCGAAACAAATGTGATTTTTCTACGCATGCAACGCTATGCAACGTTATATTATTTCTATTACGAACAGCTTTAGGGAGGCTCAAGTAGTTGTTCTCTTGCTTCTTGCGTTTTTCCATTTTGCCCCCCTTTCCTTCAAAGAAATAGCGCACCAACAACATATGTTATTATCGCCACAGTCATCACGGTACTCGCCGTCAAATCAACGCTTTCCTGTTAGCTGCTTTTCCTGCCGCAGGCTTTGATACCCCTTTGTAAGCAGTCTTTCAGGGACCACCATGAAGTCTACCTTATATCTTATGTTTTCACGATATGCAGATTAAATATTTCGATCTTGACCCGTATATACAATCCTTGGAACTTATTTACCGGTGATGAATTGCACACAGTCCTATCTGTGCATATGTATCGTGATACCAGTATGGGACTTCTGTCACATATTACGTATGCATATGTCATAGAAACGATGCTTTAGACCAAAACCATTATGTTTATGGCGCATGAAGTCAAAATGCGACGTTAACCAAACCGTCGTGAGCAAGGTTCTATTTCCGCCAAGCTAAGTTTTACAATGTAAAAATCCCTCAGCATTTATCGAACTAATGTGGCAGATGATTCAGACTCGACAATATGCTAGCCTGGGCCCTTAGAAGCCGACAGACAGAAACAAGGGGGACAGATTCTTCAGTGTAGGGAGTCGCTGAACAATTTAGTTAAAAATGAACATGCTCCATGATCAGGGAAAGAGGTCGCTTTTAGCTGTTAGCGGTGAAATACAGGACCAACCACGAATTGCAGCCTGATAACAATTTCGAAGCGCTATCAAAGGCGAGCGTTAGCACGGAGAAATCGACACGTTAGCA